CCGTCAGGAACCGAACCGAACCGAACTGTGTGCACCCCTATAGTTCGTGTACTCCCTAAGCGTTACCCGAAACATTCCTTCCAAAAGTTACATGCACGACAAACTGAACCTTATCGTATCATTTGTAAATATTACCTCGATGAATATTTAGTTGATTTACCATCAAATATAAGTATTAATCCAATTTTGAATGTGGCGGATTTGTTTCCATATCGAGCCTCCTTTGAGACTCCCGTTCTATCAGACTTACCCACATTTGGAGACATTTCTGCAGAACCAAGTACCTATTCTTCCACCCCAATGCACAAGGAACATCAATCAGACCGAAGCTATCCTTGATGATCAAACTATACCTTGTCCACAAGTCAACTACCAGCAATATCTAGTCCGATGGAAAGGCCATCCAAATTCGGATGCCACATGAATTACTGTGGATGAGTTTCACAATATTACTCCAGATCTCTCCAAGGAGTACCATCTAGTACTCACAGGAGTCCAGTTCACCTTGGCAGGGGAGAATTGATGAAGACCCTAAGGCTGGCAACCTAAAGACCTAGCATAGGCGGCTACCCTAAACTGCATCCAAATGAGGCCGCAATTTTTTGATTGTTTTGACTGAGATTTTATTTGTTTTCTTAGACATGAAGTACTTTTAGCCATGAAGGAAACTAATATTTTATTAAGAAAACTTAGCCATGAAGGACTCTCTTAGATAGTTTGTTTTCCTTAGTGGCTAAAGAAACTTAGCCATGAAGGACTCTCCTAGATATTTTGTATTTCCTTAGTGGCTTGGGAAACATTTTGATGCCTATAAATAGGCATATATGCAACTCATACTTTCATAGTTGCTTGAGATAAAATACAGATTTAATTTAGTCGTCCTCCTCCTGATTATTTCTTCTATTCTCCTCTCTATCTTTCTTTAGTCTCTCTTCTTTATCTCACGTTTGTCTCTATTTATCATACACATCACATAGTGTCGATGAATTAGCATTTTTGAATCACTTGGGGTACCGGGAAATAATCGATTATCATAACCACTTTAAATTATCATTTTTTAAAATTAGCTATTTAAAATTTTGATTTACCCACGGACGTCCTACATTGCCTAGGGGGAGAAGTTCCTAGTATGTACGAACACCCCTTCACCAGACGCGTTTTGACCAAAACCGTGAACACTAGTAGAAGAGTATGCAAAGCGGACAATATTTACATAAGTTAAAGAACAATCGTGAGAGCCAATCCTAAGCTGAAAATGGGAGGCGTGCACAAGCTCATGCAGGTTAGGCCAATGAGGACGTTGGGTCCCAAGAGGGGGTGATTGTGACGTCCCACATTGCCTAGAGGAAAAGTTCTTAGCATTTATACGTGGACACCCCTTCACCATGTAGACGCATTTTGAGCAAAAACATTAACATCGATAAAAGTGTGCAAAGCGGAATATATCTAAACTCGTTGCCTTATTTGTGTGCCTGCCTTCCATCTTAATTTTGTTGTTGCCATTGCATATTTGTTGTGTGAGATCTTGGAGGGATTAATTCCTAACCACTGCCACCTAGGAATATGTAAACAATAGTGGAAGCAAAGTTCGTGATGCATAAAATAGATTCAAAAGTTTTGTGATGATACAAAATTTGCAAACGAATGCATTAATGAGGAGAATGGATATTAAATTAAGTAATTGTTTCATCTACAAATATCCACTAGATATAAGGTGAGACCGATAGATAAAGAAAATATATATATACACATTCGAGTTTCAAGGTAAGAAGACAAACCGTTTTTGGAGCCATTCCACCGCTTTATGTTCCCTGTAATCAAAACAAATCATGAACATTATATCAGTACAAGTATTAATACAAGCAATCAACAATGCTTAAAAATTTTAAAAAACGGGTTGTAACAAAACATTCCTAAGCATCTCTCGATAGAACAGAAAAATGCCATAAATCAATGTTGCAACAATATCATTGATTATTTAATATGCACCTTTAAGTGGAAACAAAAAGAAATCCAAATCTATTGTATATCATTATAGTACAAAGGAGGAAATAAATAACTTTGACATGCATCAAAGCAATGACAATGACAAAACTAACACACAAATCATTAACAAAGAAAGATGGCTCACTAGTTTAGGCTACAGCCATTAATAACTACATTAATCAAGGTAAAAACTAAGAAAACAGTGCTATTATAGGATTGCAACAACCTAAAGGTGGTAAAGTATAATGAAAAAGTGCAGATCAAAATGTAAAATTGGTTGAAAGAGAAACAATAGAAACTCTACAGAACTCAGACCTGAATCCTTTCAACAAAACAAACAAATAAATAAATAATAACTTCAGTATAGAGAGCAATCTAAACTAGTCAATTGAGATCTGAACAGCAGAGTGAAACATACGCCTCTCCAATTAGATAGCCAACACCAACAACAGAAAGAACACCCGCCGAAACGATAACTGGTGTAACTGATGTAGGAAAAAAAATGATTTCCATTAGTGAAAAATGCAACACGATTAATTGAAACAGTGAAGGTAAGGTGGAGAGAGAATTACTCATTTTTGCAGCCAAAATTTGGACGATGGCCATCTGAAAGATACATTTCATTTATACAAGTGAAATAATATGAGAGAGAATTTTATCATCAAAACTCAAAAATAAAAAAGAAGAAGAAGAAGAAGGTAAATTATTTGCTACAACCAAAGCAGGAGATATTTTTATCAATCAAAAATGGAGTCTCAGTAACAATTGATTCGTAAACAACAACCTCCTCCAAAGAATGCACGCTTAAAAGAACAAAAATTAGACAAGGGGATAAATGAAAAAATAGTAAACTTTGACAACCAGTTCTTCTGAAAACCCTAGCATAATGAACAATAATAGCTTAAAATTTTCCACTGTAATGTAAATAGTTTAATAAAAATCAATTTATATAGGAGGAGGAGGAGGAGTTGTCGTACCACTACCAGTCACGAAACGAAACCCTCAAACTTTGCTTTTCTCTTCGTCCCTTTTCTTTTCACGAAAGTATTCTCACCGTATTGTGCGTCTTTATCGGTGGGCAAACCTAAAAATTGGACTCCTCACCCAGCCCAATATTTTCTCTATTTACCCTTTTGTTGTATATCTAGCCCAGAAGCCACACTCCCAAGTCCCATCCCACATTCACAAGATCTAACCCAATGCTTAGAGGATCAAAATCGTCTCCGGCGCAACAGTAAATCTGTTGCAGCCGATGCACAATACATGAACAGTAAATCGTAGTAAATCGTAGATGAACACTGACGCGTTTTAAAATAATACACGGTAAAAGCGTATAGTATATATATTTGAATACTGCATGTTATAGGTACTAACTACTATATTATACGTATGGGCCCACCAAAAACAAGAAAAAAGGGTAAAACTTGAGTTTCATTTCAATTTCAAAAAGGCCCGTGATTTTTTTTCATTTTTTGATCTTCTTCGCCTCATTTCAGTCGCTTTCTGTCTCTCCCTCTCTCTCTCTCCACAATCCCAATAGAAAAGTGATCACAGAGTATATTGTGATTCATTTTTTTCTCATCACAAAATAGAAGGTTAATTTGTGAACTGGTTGAGGGGGTTCGTTTGGATCTGAAGGCAAAGTTGAGGCATGTTGTAAAGATGATCCATTTTTTTCTCTTTCACAAAGTAGAAGTTAAACTTGTGGACTTCTTGATTCTCTTCTTTGGAAGTGAAGGCAAAGTTGAGGAATTTGGTAAAGACTTTAAAACAACACATTCTCTACAGCTGACTGATATTGGGTATATTTTTTTGTTTTAATTTTTGGAGTTTATTCAATGATCTATCTGTTATTTTTCCCTAATAAAAGTTGAGTATAATATTTGCGATTAACTATTGATTCTAAATACTTGTATGAATTGATGCAGTGAAATAAAGTAAAATATGATATTTTGTATATATATATCATTGGGTAGGTATGTTAGAACAGAATTGGGACGTTAAAGTATTGGAAATAGGGATTGATTAGATTAACACGTTGGGATGTGCAGTCAATATACTTTTTTGGATTATTCAATTCAAATTAGTTTTTCCTTTTTTGTTTTGTATAGTTATAAATGTTAGATTTTTTTTTGAAGAGATACATGTATCAATTTATATGTTGAAATATAAATTTCATTGATCAGACATGTTAGAACAGAGTTGGGATTTTGTAGTGTTAGAGATTGGGATTATTCATATTGACATGTTGGGACGTGCACTTGAAACACATTTTGGGAATATTCAAGTCAAATCAATAATTCCCTTTTTTGCATTGTATAATGAAAAATGTTATAATTTATTATAAGAGATAGGTGTATGAATTCCTATGTTGATATGAATTTAAATAAAAAAAATAAAAAAAAATTGATTTTGTATATATTTCATTGCTCAGGCATGTTAGGATATAGTTGGTATCTAGTAATCTTAGAGATGAGGATTATTCACATAGTTTTTGGGATTATTCAATTCAAATCAATTCTTCCCTTTTTTGCATTGTATAATTATAAATGTTAGATTTTATTTTAAGAAATACTTGTATCAATATTCATATGTTGAAATGAAGTTTAAAAAGAAAAAACACAAAAGTGATGTTGCATGTATTTCATTGGTGAGGCATGTTAGAACATAGTTATGATGTTGCTGTCTTAGACATGGGGATTATTCACATGAACGTGCTCTTCATATCGTTTTGGGGATTATTCAATTCAAATCAGTTGTTCCCTTTTTTGTATTGTATAGTTATAAATGTTATATTTTTGGAAGAGATGTTTTATGCAGTTCATTGGTGATATATGACCAAACTAAGTTTGGATGTGCAACTCTTAAGTGGTCATTGGTGTTCCTATATTTTAAATTTAAGCTCTTCCATTATCTTGTGTATTTTATATACGTACAACAAGTTAGAAAGAGGAAATTTTACTTAAATTATGTTACTTGAATTATGTTGCAGGTTAAAAATTTTATTCCTTTCGATGGAAGATGAAATGATAAATATTGAAGACACAACAAATGTTGTAGTTATAGAGTCCCAAGTGAATCAATGGAAACCAAGGTTTAAGATGGAGTTTGATAAGGAACAAGAGGCATACGAATTTTATAATGCATATGGGGGTAGAGTTGGATTTAGCATCTGGAGGGAGTATTTTAATAATAGCCGTAAAACAGGGAAACTTTTAACGAGGTTGTTTACTTGTTGCAAGGAGGGTGTTAGGAAGAAGGATAGAAGGGGCAAACATACAAAGACTCCGCGAGCTGAAATAAGAACTGGTTGTGGTGCACGAATGCATATTAAATATGATGAAGCAAAAGGAAAGTACTTAGTTGATAATTTTGTAGATAGTCACAACCATCCCTTGATAATTGATGAATGCATCCATATGATGCCGTCGTAGAGATGTATTTCTAGCATCCAGGCCATTGATGTGGACTTGGCTTCAGATTCAGGAATTGCAGCTCGTAATTCATATGAGTTAATGGCAAGGCAAGCTGGTTGTAAAGAATCAGTTGGATACATTAAGCAGGACCAACAAAATTATATAAGGACCTGCAGACAGAATGAGCTTCAATATGGTGAGGAAGCATGGCTCACCAATTATTTTGTCACTCATGCTTGTGATGATCCTTCATTTTTCTATGCCTTACAGTTGGATGCTGAACAGATGATAACCAATATATTTTGGGCAGATCCTAAAATGATAACTGATTATGGCCATTTTGGAAATGTTGTAACTTTTGACACTACATACAAACTTGTACATAGCAACCGTCCCTTTGCATTGTTTTTAGGTGTTAATCAACACCGGGAGACGGCTGTATTCGGGGCAGCCCTTATGTATGATGAGACAGCAGATTCTTTTGTGTGGTTATTTAATACTTTTTTGAAAACGATGTCCGGAAAGACACCAAAGACAATTTTGACTGATCAAGATGCAGCAATGGCGAAGGCTTTGGTGCAGGTAACTTGAATTAAAATCTCCACTCCTTTTCATATGCTGAAAATACCTGTAATGCCTAATTGATACAATGAAGTAAATAATGGAAAAATGTTTATTATTCTAACATGATTTTAGGGTTTCTTTTAAATGTCATGACTCAAACATGATTTTATGTTTTAGGTCATGCCTGGTACAAAACATCATCTATGTACGTGGCATCTAATGCAAAATGCACAAAAGCAGGTTGGGTTCTTGTTTAAACGTGATGAACGCATAAAAAATGTGATATCTAAATTAATGTTCGAAATTGAGGAGGAGAAACAATTTATGTCAGAATGGGATTCAATGCTAAGGGTGTATGATCTTGTTGGCAACACATGGCTTGAGCATTTGTTTAGCTTGAGACATAGATGGGTTATGGCATTCATTAAATATACGTGGTGTGCGGGAATGCGCACTATGCAATTGAGTGAAAGTTTTAATGCTCGCTTGAAGGAATACTTATGGAGGCAACTCATTCTTCCTGATTTCTTCACCCATTTTAATAGGCTGTTGTCGGATAAGCGTTACAAGGAGTATGAAGCCGAGTACCGTTTGCTGCAGAGGCTTCCGCAAGTTAAATCAAAGTGTGATATGTTACTTAAAGCGGGGGAGACATACACAAAAGTTATATTTCAGCTTTTCCAGGAAGAGTTTTTAATAGCTTGTGTGAGTGATTGTTAATAGTTGCAGAGACATGGATAACAATGGACAACGTGTTTATAAAGTTACTAGTCGTAATGGGATGCAACGTTCTGTGACTAGAACATTTGAGGATGAATTATCTTGTTCATGTGGGAAATTTGAAATGAATGGATTTTTGTGCAGTCATATTTTAAAAATCCTTAAGGATTGTATGAACATCACTGAATTGCCTTCTCGATATATATTAAGAAGGTACTAGAAAAGCCAGAGATGGGAACTTGGATGAGATTCTTGGCTGTGAAGTGTTGATAGATCCTAAACTTGAGGTAAGGCGACGACACAGGACCCTTTGTCGTATTTTGACCGAAATATCTTCCATTGCATCGGAAGACAACGAGGGATACAATGATTTATTAGTAAAAGCAATGGAATGGAAAAAATCTGCCCAAAGAAGTTGTAGTCGTACTTTGGTTAGCAGTAGAAAGGCTGGTAAAATGCAGAATAATGGGGAGATAAAAAACAGTGGAATAATTCCCGTGGACGTCAAGACGAAAGATACATTTAAAGGACAAATGCGTAGGCGCAAATCTCCCACTGAGAAAAATGACAAGAAGAAGAGCAAGTGTATGAAAAGAATAGTTGAGGTATTTACCAAAAGTTTTTAGTTTACTTTTCATATTGTACTTACATTATTGTGGTCCTTGTTTTACATTAATGTTGTGGATTTATTTGTCGTTTCTGGTTGTGTACTGAATCGAATAAAAATTGAATTTTATTGTGTTTTAGAAAGCGAATGATAGCATGGTCTCCGGAGTGGGAGGTGACAGTTGTAGTCAGACATATCTATTAGTCGATGTTAGCATTGTTACGACTATATCATAACTAACACTTAATTTTCGTGATAGTTGTGCAATTCGTTAATTTTGTTTACAAGTTTACTGTAACCTAACAGAAGTACACAATTTTCGTTGAAGGGCAATGAAAATCCAGGCGAATGTGTACATCATCAATGTTATATGCCACCACCACCTATAATGCACAATAGGAAGACTTTCCAACCTCCGTATAGCCCCGGTATTCATTTTGCGCAACCCATTACTCCATTAAATAACCAGGTAATTATGTTGAATCAATTGCATTGTATTAGTGGAGCACGCTTTCTAGATTTAATTCCCATAATTTCTAATGAACACTATAAAATGTTGCAGAGTTCTATTGGTGATTCACGGTTGTTTTCATCTGAATTATTTAGTACTCCTTCTTCGTATGGCGAATTGTGCACGGCTAATTCGGGAAGTCAAATGGTATATATTTTAATATGATTTGTCAGCCAAACCAATATATTTTAAGTCTTTATTTCTTTATTTTATCTAACAATTCCAATTTCTTTCCACGGTCATAAATAAAAACACCTGCTCCCAACCTCGGGCAATTGACTTCCACTGAAATATCGTAACTACCAAACTCAGAGATTAGTCGTCCAATTCAACAACAATTATTCAAATATTGAGTAAACAATGTTTATGTATTTTACTTTATCCATGTCGACTTCGTCTAATTCTCTGCCACTGTATCGAAAAGATAATTTTAAATTACATACATCTCTAATTGAGCTAACCAATGACTGTGGTATCTGCAGCAAGAAAACAAAGGAGGGAGTTTTTGGTTTCGTGAAATTTTGAATGAATTCGTCTGCCATAGTTAAGTGCAGTTTGGTGTTGGTACTACCTCCAAATGGGAATTGGGTTGTATGGATGAAGTTTGTATATACTTCCTAGTTTGGTAGGTTAGCATAGTTAAGTTGCACTGGAGGAATTTATATTTCTGTTATTTGCCAATTGTTGTAAATGATTTTATGTATTTGTGGATATATGCATTTGGAAATTATGGTAAACTATTGGTTTTTTGCTTTCACTTTTCACAAGTAAATGTATAGTTTTGCAAATGATGAATCCCAACATTTTCATACTATGCATCTCAACACACAAACTTGCTGCATCCCAACATTTTCCCAAATTGTATCCCAAATTATGCTGACCAGCTGGGACAGATGTATTGTTGCATTAAATAGAATAAGTGGGGGACTAAACTTTCGGCTGACTCACTATATTGTGAAATTAAGTCTTTAGTTTTGATGTTCATATATACTAAATTCAATATTCTCTCACCCACTATGATAATTATATACATTACTAGTCAATCAAACTGAATTGTGTAAATTAATGTTTTCCAGCTGGGTCATACAGATGTATTGTTGATAAGTGGCAGAGTAAACTTTCGGCCCTCTCAGTATACTGACATGGAACTCTGACGTTTATAACTAAATCACTACTTAAACTAGATTATCTAAAAGTTAACTTGATCATAACATCACACTAACTAAACCTTCGCAACAGTACATTCAGTCAGGGGTTTGGTAAAAAACGAAAACACAAATTCATAATTAATACATAGGTGTATGAAGGTCTTCAAATATGATCCATTTTCATCATAGCACAACTGTTAATGACATAATAATTTGATTCAGTGCATCACCAAAATTTACGAAAGTGCATCCCAAGTTTGTCCCTACTAGAATCCCAAAATTGGCGAACATTAGGATCCAAATAATTTCGTATGATGAATCCCAACATTTTTATACTGTCCATCTCAACACACAAACTTGCTGTATCCCAACATTTTCCCAAGTTGTATCCCAAATTATTCTGACCAGCTGGGACAGATGTATGTTGCATTAAATAGAATAAGTGAGGGACTAAACTTTCGGCTGACTCACTATATTGTGAAATTAAGTCTTTAGTTTTGATGTTTATATATACTAAATTCAATATTTTCTCACCCACTATGATAATTACATACATCACTAGTTAATCAAACTGAATTGTGTAAATCAATGTTTTCCAGCTGAGTCATACAGATGTATTGCTCATAAGTGGCAGAGTAAACTTTCGGCCCTCTTAGTATACTGACATGGAACTCTGACGTTCATAGTTAAATCACTACTCAAACTAGATTTTCTAAAAGTTTACTTGATCATAACATCACACTAACTAAACATTTGCAACAATACATTCAGTTAGGGGTTTGGTAAAAAATGAAAACACAAATTCATAAGCAATACTTAGGTGTATGAAGGTCTTCAAATATGATCCATTTTCATCATATCACAACTGCTAATGACATAATAATTTGATTCAGTGCGTCACCAAAATTTACGAAAGTGCATCCCAAGTTTGTCCCTACTAGAATCCCAAAATTGGCGAACATTAGGATCTAAATAATTTCGTATGATGAATCCCAACATTTTCATACTGTGCATCTCAACACACAAAATTGCTGTATCCCAACATTTTCCCAAGTTGTATCCCAAATTATTCTCACCAGGTAGGACAGAAGTATTGTTGCATTAAATAGAATAAGTGGCGGACTAATCATCAGAAGTTTCAACATTATAAAGAGATCACACTTACATCACTAATTGCTGGTCATATCAACAACCACCAACATCAGAACTTTCAACATTATAAAAGCAGACATACTCAGCAAGGAAATGTTCTCCCACAACTAAATTATCAAACATGTTCTCAGCAAGCTCAACCAATAGAGGAAGAGGGGGAAGAGGAGCGTGGGGTAACCATCCCCTTCCTGCTCAGATCTCCCATCCACCAGTTTTCCCTCATCCTCCTCCAATAAGGTCGCAATTGGTTATGCGTTTGGACAACCTTACTACAGAAGTGGGTAACCTAATTGTAAATATAGGCAACCTGACTGGAGAAGTGGCCAACCTTACTGCAGAAATAGGTCGAATGAAAAACCACTTGAGGGTGTTACACAGACGTGTGCGCCACCTTCAGAGGGTAGGCGACGACTCTAATGTCACCGAGGTTCCTGTTGCCAATTCAAGTTCCTCATTTAGCTCATATTCTTTTTGAAGGATAAGGAGATTTGGTCTAGTGGACCCTTTTGTAGTTCCTTTTGGGAACTTAGGTCCCTCTGTCGAAGTTTTCTACTACCTTTTCTAGTTCCTTTTGGGAACTTAGGTCCCTCTGTCGAACCTTTCTACTACCTTTTATAGTTCCTTTTGGGAACTTAGGTCCCTTTGTCGAACCTTTCTACAGATGTATTGTAGTTTACTTTTGCAATTTAGGTCCAAATGTGGAAGATTTGTACTACCTTGTGTAGTTCTGTTTCGAGTATCAAAAGTTCTTTTCATGGACCTTATATATGTATTTACTTTCAGTATATGTTTACTTTGCAATGTTAAAAAATTGTATGATGAATCCAAACATTTCTCTACTATGCATCCCAACACAAAAACTTTCGGTTGACTCATTATATAGTGAAATCAAGTGTTTAGTTTTGATCTGCATACTAAATTAAATATTTTGTAGTAATAAATATTCTCTCACCCACTATGATAATTACATACATCACTAGTCAAACTGAATTGTGTAAATCAATGTTTTGCAACTGGGACAAACAGATGTATTGTTGATGTATTGTTTTGCAGCTGGAACTCTGACGTTTGTAGTTAAATTACTACTTAAACTAGATTCTCTAAAAGTTAATTTGATCACAACATCACACTAACTAGTTTATTGCAACATTTCGTATTCAGTTACGTATGTATGAAGGTTTTAAAGTAAAATCCATTTTCATCATATCACAACTATTAATCACATATTATTTTTGGATACACGTCACCAAAATATTCCTACCTTGCCTCCCAGCATTTTCCTACTGTAAATCCCAACATTTTCGTACATTGCATCCTAACATTTTCCTAGTGTAAATCCTAACATTTTCCGACCTTGCATCCTAACATTTTCCTAGTGTAAATCCCAACATTTTCCTACCTTGCATTCAAAGTCATTTTCCTAATAAGTACTTCGTTGCATTAGTACTTTCACTTGAGACTTGAATCAGTACTTTGACCTATATATATATATATATATATATATATACACTGTCATTATGACCGTTTATAAACTTTGTTACCATTGAAAACCCCTGTACGTCAAAATCCCTTATATATAGGT